GGGACTTATTCCCTGAGAGCTCAGCCAGGCGGCCCCATTAGGCCCGTCACTGATTTCTGGGCTTCTGGGACCTGCTGTCCCCAGTCTACCTCTGGCTGGGCCTGGATCCCACAGACTTCTATCTCTGCTGGAGGATTCCAGCTGCCTTGAGCCTGTGCTGTTCATGAGCTGCAAGCAAAAATCTGGGTCTGGGCTTCACAAGAGGGAACCATGATGTTACTTTTTGTATTCACGCATTTTCCTAAAGAGCGTTCCATGCAGCATTACTGTGATCAAAGGTTAAATTAGTTTAGAAAATGTCAGGCTGAACAAAATCAGACAGATTTCTAGCCTGCAGCTTTCACTGCGATTCTATGCATCAAGCCTCTAAGAGGGTTTCTCAAGCTGTGGGACCCGGAACACTTATCTCTGGGGAAATCATACAATGGAAGAGGAGGTAGAAAAAAACAGTAGAGGGCAAGGCCAGGGCCAGCAATGTGAAGGAAGAATGTGGAATCATTCTCATCTTGACCACTGACTCACTCTCTGACTTTGAGCTAGTTTCTTTTGCTCCTTTTGATCTCTGCACCTTTTCCCCATCCACAAAATGAGTGATGTGTGGACCTCATCTGGTCCTTAGTAGTTATGTGTCAGCAGGAAGGACTAGGGTCTCCCTGACCCTTTAGTCACAGCGACCTAGTCGTGGGAGAGAATGCAGGCTCTGGACCTCCTTTTTGGTGGGAATGTATTGGCATCAGCTACCATCAGCTCAGATTCGCAGCTCCAGTGCCTCCAGTCCTACCCCCACTCCATAAAGTGGAGCAAATAATAGTATCTGCACTAATGAAGAGGGCATCGTTAACGATCATGTTGGGAGAACAAGTGTCAGCTGGTCCGGTGCCCCACAAACCAGGATGGATGGTGACGTGAGGCTCCGTGAGGCAATGCCTGATAGTGCAGTGAACATACCATATATTTTTGTTTGGGGTTTGTTTTTGAGACAGGGTCTTGCCATATAGTTCAGACTGGCTTTGAACTCACTATATGGCGCAGGCTGGCCTGGAACTCATAGTGATCCTCCTGCCTCAGCTTGCCGTGTGCTGGGATTACAGGCTTGCGCCACCTCGCCTGGCTTGGTGTGGTTTTTTGAGACGGCGTCGAACTATGTAGTTTAGCCTCAGGTCCCAGGGCCTTTAAAAACCACTCAGGTTCCTTCCAGCTCTTTAGACCATGATTTATGAATCCCTAACCTACTGTCCTTCCCTGTACCCCCAGGGTCCTCTGGCAGCACAGACCTAAGCAACCCCATCTCCTTCACCCCACATGTGGAGCCCCCTCATGAGAAGGGTTCAGAACAGTATCATTTGCCCTGTGGGCTGTTTGGGCTGTACCTTTCCTTTCTCCACTCCAACCAGATATGGCTGCCTTAGGTACACCGGGTGTATGTGAATTTCCTTTCATCCTCCCGGAAGGGAGCACTCCAACACTTCATCTGTGGAGAAACTGAGGCAGTATGGTTGAAAGGAGCTTTCCCAGAGCTGCAGGTTTGTCTCAGTGGCTCTGAGCCTGGCTTGCAAGCTGAAGGTCCTGAGTTCGATCCCTGGCACCAGAGAAAAAGGAGCTGCCCCAAATGTCACAACAACCAGAAGTAGAGGCTTCTGCAATTTTCCTCACTCCCACCCCTTGCCCTGAAGAAGGGAAGGAGCCCCAGATGGCAGCAATACAGAGCTAAGTGCTCCAGGAAGGGGCTTGGGGAGGAAGGTGGGTGTAGGTGGGTGTGGGTGTGGCCTTGGACTGGAAGATGGTGACCTAGGGGGGGAATTAGGGGCCAGAGGCCTGGGCACTGGGAGGATTAAAAGGCCCCTGGCAGCACAGAGTCTCTGGAAGCTCTTTTCAAGTCCAGGCAGGTGGGTGGTGGGAGATGTGGGCGGAAGGCTCCTTACTCTTTGCCTTTCTCCACCCTCTGCCTTTGCTTGGGTTGAATGTGACCCCCACCCCGCCCCCAGCTCCAGGCCCTATTCAGGAGGCAGCTCCTGGACAACACTTCCCTGCTCCTGGCTCCCTACTGGGCCCCTGCCACATTCACAGTGCATCTCTAGCTACCCAGCCACTCCAGGCCGGCCAGCCGGGTCCCCATTCCATCCTGAGAGCACCTCACTGCCAAGGTGGGTGAATCCAGGGCACTGGGGCCTGAGGGAGGGATACTTCAGGAGCTTCTGCACATTAACAAGGAGATTGCATTTACGGGCTTGTTGCCCTGAAAGGTCCAAACCATACTGCTAGTATGATCTCCCCTTCTAAGATGTGGAGGAGGCCAAGGGGCAGGCTGTCTGCCCAGAGGGCCCAGCATGCCCGCTGGTACAGAGTGCCCCCACTTGAGAAAGGCAAGCCAGCGGCCACCCTGGGTTTGCTTCTGCCACCGCAGCCAGGGAAAGCAGCCCACCCTGAAGATGGGGCAATCTAGGCTCGAGCCGTCTATGCTGAATTATGCAAACCCTGTTAACAGGGTTTTATCTTGTTCCTCGCTACACTGCCATGTATCCTCCTTTAGAAGCCCCAGATTCCTTCTGGGGACATGGGACCTGCCGCTTCCCTCCCTTCTGGGCACGTGCAGCACCCCCATATCAGGCTCTGCCCTTGCCCAGACTTCCCAGGTGATCAGGTGATGGCGACAGTGGTCAGAAAGCATCTTGTGTGTGCTCAGAACCAGGCAGCCAGCCCCATCCCCTCCCCCTAGTAACTCCAGAGTCCCTGAGGCCTCATTATTAGAGTAGCAGTGACCCCCCATTGTCTGCCCTGTCTGGCCCTGGCATAAAAGGTAGAGTTTTGGCAGAGAATGGAGGCTCGGCCTGATTCCAGCTCATTCTGTAGGGCAGAGAGCCTGTAATATGCTGGGGGCAGGCCGGGCTGGGGGCTGGGGGCTGGAGGAGCCACAGGGCAGCCCCTGTCACTAGGACGACAGCAGGGGGCCCCGGTGGGGGAGGGAGAGGAGAGCAGGTGGCTCTTTGTCTGGTGTCTGATCCAAGCCCCCAGCCCACCCCCACCCCACTCCCAATCCTGAGGAGGCCCCTGGGAGGGGACTGGCATCCCTGCTCCCAGCACATGCAAAACCACAGGCCTCCTTCCCTCTGCCCCCCACCCCCACATATCCCATGGGGATCTTCCCAGGACCTGAACTTGCACCCCTGCCCCCATCCGCTCACCCAGCACTGAAGCCCCAGCAGGACTGGTGCTCGAGTGGCTTCCAGGGAAAGAAGCGGAACCTGAGCAGCCACCACCACGTTCCTTCTCCAGGTTCTGTTTCTGCATCTGAGCAGTAAGGCGAGCAGAGTGTTGCTGCCCAGGGCTCTTTCCTGCCTTAAGCCTCTCTGTTGAGGACAGGATCATGAGGCCCGTAGAAGCCTCCACCTCCAGGTCTGGGTCTGTGCTCGGCTCTTTGGTCTTGGGTTTTGATTCTGAGCAGCAGAGCAGCCTGGGCCGGGGAGGGGCAGTGGTGGTTGAAGGTCAGTGACAGCCACAGGCAGCCGCTTCACTTCTTCATTTGAATCCCCCGCCACCTGCCTCTTACTTTCTCACCTGCTCATAGGATCTGCTATGTTTGTTGTAGAGGGGGCCAAGAAATCATAAACATAAGGTACTTAGAACAGTGTTGTTTGGCCCCATGAAAACACTGCAAATGTTAGGTTTTTCTGTGCCTGAAGATGAGTTCCTTGAAACACGTGATATAAACTGAAAACCAAGAGCTGGGTGTGGTGGCGCCTGCCTGTAATCCCACCGCTCAAAAGACTGAGGCAGGAGGGTTGGGGTGAGTTCAAGGCCAGCCTGGGCTGTGTATGTAGGGAGACCCTGTCTCAAACAAACCAACCACAAAATGAAAACCAAATAGATGCCATCCCTGAAACCTGGTATTTGGGGTGGAGGATTGGGGAATATGTGGATTTTAAAATAGACTTTAGAGATGTCCTCCTTGTAGAGTCTTGGGGAGAAGAATTGAAACAGTCTGTGATTGACTGTTGCTCTTGGATTGTCTTCGAAATGTTGCACTCTGAATCTGCTTTCCCAAAATAGTCTTCAGTGACCTAATCCAGAAAAGGGAGAGATGTGAGCTTGGCCTTCGGGACTACACACACCTCTCCATCTCCAATGTATGTGTCGGTTGCCATCTATTAATTTACTTGTCTGTGGAGTGGTGCTGGGACTCAACGCCAGAGCTATACATCCTCCAGCCCATCCAATGCCTTTTAAAGCCTGAGCAGCCCGCAGCAGTGTGTGCGGCCTCTCAGGCTGGGATGCCCTTCGAAGGCAGGAGTTCTTTTTGCACCTGCGTGCTGAGGACAGAGTCTTGTTCTCTGCTGGGCGTGTGAGAGGACGGAGGCACACGGAGGTTAAGGGCTTCTCTGGGAGAGAGGAATGAGGCTGCCTTTTCTAACTGAACTCATGAGGATTTCCATGGAAAATTAGCACCTGTCTATTGGTCTAAACATCCCTGTCTGTTCATCCGACAAATCGTGATTGAGTGCTGATAGCGCCAATGTGTGCGCACGCACCCAGAGCTGCAGTGGGGTGAGGAGCTGAACGTGCTGGAGACCAGTGCGAGCCGGAGGCCTGGGGCCCATCCACACAGGGGAGCAGTGGGGATGGGCCCTGTCTCAGGAGAGCCTTGCAGAAGAGGGGACCTGGCAGTAGTCTGGGGGGAGATGATTTCAGGGTCCCAGGGAGACTGGGGAGGAAAGGGAACCCTAGATAGAGCGACCTAAGTGTGCAGAGCTGCAGAGTAGCACGTGCCTGTAATTCCAGCCACTGGGGAGGCTGAAGCAGGAGGAATGCAAGTTTGAGCCAACCTGGGACAACTCAGCAAGACTTTGTCTCAAAATAGAAATAAAAAGAAAAAGGCTAAGAGTATATCTCGGAGGCAGAACACTTCCTTGGCATGCATGAGGCCCCCGGTTTAGTCCCCAGCACCACACACACCCCCAAACAAGCCACAGAGCTGATCCACTGCTGTCTTGCTTCTCCCACAGTTTGACCCTGGCAACACAGGCTACATCAGCACAGGCAAGTTCCGGAGCCTCCTGGAGAGCCACAGCTCCAACCTGGACCCGCACAAAAGGGAGGTGCTCCTGGCTCTGGCGGACAGCCATGAGGATGGGCAGATCTGCTACCAGGACTTTGTCAACCTGGTGAGCACTCGGGGTCCCCTGTCCCTGGAGGGGCCTCTTTGGGATTTTGGTTTAGACACATGACAGAAATGTAGGCAAAGGGACCTATTGGTTCACAGCACTGAAAAAGCCCAGGCTTCAGCAAGGGAGAGAACACCACTAAGGATGTGGTTTCTTGTCTGGATTCTGCTTCTCCAGTGGTTGTTTGTCTTCAAAGGATGATACGGGACTGGAAGTCTTCACTCGGCTCCTGGGGTGACGGGGAGGCAGTGCCCTCTTGTTGGGTCCCCATGAGGGATGAGAGTGAAATGGCTTGGGTGAAGTTCCCAGGCCCCCTGGAGTTCAGAGGCTTCAGAGCCACCCAGGCTTTGTGGTTCAGGGCCCAGGCAGGTCAGGGGTTGTTGTGCCAGCCTCTTGCTGAGGGCCGGTGTGACCCAGGGAGAGTGCCTGTGCCGGAAGCAGGGTAAGAGCTCCGCCTAGGGGAGCAGGGGAGGAGCTGGCACAGTCAGTGTGCACAGGGTGGGCGGTGGAGCTGTGCGTGTGACTTGAGACCACAGTGCCACCCATGACCTGGCATGGACAGGCTCCCACAGCCCCGTCACGGGCTCGAGTGTCCACCGAGATGCCTGCCTGCTTCAGCGCGGTGCGAAGGCCTCCTGGGCCAGAGCAACTGGGTGTGAGCTCTTGACAGCCAGGGACTTGTTGCTTTCGAGATTTCTCCATTCCAGGTCTGACCTTGGTGGCCAGCCTGGACATGAACTCAGGGGACAGTGCTGCCCTGGTGACCAGAGGAGGAAGGGACCCATTGGGGAGCTGTGGGAGGGGAGAGAGCTCAGGGCCTGGGCGGGCAGCCTTTGCCACTCATCGGGAACAATCCTCTGGGCCTCCATTTTTCTCTTTATAAAATGAACCCCAAACTTCATGCAGGATGGTTGCAAGCATCAGGTATGATAAAGGATCACATCTGAAGGTTGTTCTGTCTGAATGTTATTCCACCAAGTAAACTCCTCTGCGTGTTTGATGGGATTTTACATGCCCCAGCCTAAGCAGAACAAATCAGACTTGTCCAGACCCCTACAGCGCTTTTCCCAGCCATCCCTTATAGCACAAAACACATTGCATATAGCTGAGCAGAGAGGGTTGTCCTGTTTGGATGTACGGACTGTGTACTGTGCAAGGATGCTTGAATGAGGGGCTGAAGTCAGGCTCGGGCTTTGCTCACCAAGGACTGGAAGAAGAAAGTTCTTTATATAATTGGCATAAATTCACCATGTGGGTAGCTTGGGCTCTGGAGTCAGATGTGGATTTTACTCCCGGTCGATGTACTGTGGGTCCCTTGGGAAATGACTCACCTCTCCAGCCTCAGTCCCTATCCTCATGCTGTGAGAACAGTACCACACACCAGACAACTGTGATGCCCCCTCTCTCACTGCCCTTCACATCTGCCTCCCCTGTGTGCAGCACGAGGCCCAGTGGTGTGGTTATGACCGTGGCTGGCACAGCTCCAGGCAGGCCACGCCTACCCTGAGCAGCTGCTGCCTTTGCCGTGAGCATGTGTGAGTGTGTGTGCCATGCCTGCCAGGGGCTGCGGCAGAGGATGGCAAGAGTGGCTACAGAACCCTCTGGCAGTGGGACCCGCCGTATACATGACCCATGGTGGACGTTATCTCCCGACTCCTGAGAAGCAGCAGCTCCAAGCTCTGTGGGCATAGAGGAGACCAGAGTGGGGCAGTGGAAGGGATTATGGGGGTGTCCTGCCACCGGAGGGATGGCCTTGGGGCCAGGCAGGGCAAGCGAGAGATGGGCTGGGGAGGAGAGACGGGCTCTGCAGTACGGGCCGCACCCTGGGTCTGATCTGAACCCAGTCCCCTCCCTGATGTCCTCGAACAGGGCTTAGATCCCACCATGCCAGGCCTGCCTGCTCATGGCTTCTGGTTTGGCCTAGGGCCCACTGCTTGGCCCTCCTCCCCCCGAGAGCTGGCTAACCAAACTCCTAGTCTTCCAAGCTGTGGTCTGCGGACACGACCCCTACCCATCCTGCGCTTCTCGTGCAGGCTCACCTCCTCCAGGAGGCCCTTGCTGACCCCCCTGGATAGGTGGGTCCCCCTGCCTGCTATGCCAGCACAGCAGCTATCACTCTGAACTGTGGTGGCTGGTGACCACTCTGTCCTGGGTGTGGTGTATCCCCTGTGTCTGGTAACCTGCTTGACACGTAGACGTTGCTCAGTGAATTGTGAAGGCAGGGAGATGCCTGTGAGGATGGATGGAAGGTGGGCAGGTACCAGATGCAGGCTCTGCACCTGAACTTGGTTGGTCTCTAAAACTCCCCGTCCGGTAGAGTGGGAGTGTCACCGTCCAACAGGTAGACCCTATGTGTACAGAGAATGTTGCTTCTTGTTGATCTTCACAGAAGATGTTAGCCCTGGCTAAAGGGACATGCCAGCTGGGGAGAGGATGGGGGACTCCTGAGGCCCCAGCTCTGACCCTTTCCCCACCCTGTGCCCTGCACAGATGAGCAACAAGCGCTCCAACAGCTTCCGCCAGGCCATCCTGCAGGGCAACCGCAGGCTGAGCAGCAAAGCCCTGCTGGAGGAGAAGGGGCTGAGCCTGTCGCAGCGCCTGATCCGCCATGTGGCCTACGAGACACTGCCCCGGGAGATTGACCGCAAGTGGTACTACGACAGTTACACCTGCTGCCCACCGCCCTGGTTCATGATCACTGTCACACTGCTGGAGGCAAGGATGGGAGTGGGGAAGGGGCTGCCAGCCTTGGGGGAGAGGGTGGGATTGTAGGGGAGAGGAGCCAAGGGGACCGCGGGGATGTTCAGGAGAGAGGGGCACATTCTCCTCCACCGCGGGCCGATGACTGGGGCTGGAAGAGCTTTTGTCCCTGCAAGTCATCCTGGTCACAGTGAGTGTAGGAGCTGCCAGAACCCAGGATGGCCACATCACCCAAGGGTGACCGCCACCGAGACCCATGTGGCCTTCCCCACCAAAGCAGCAGCAGCAGAAACTGCAGCAAGTCCATCAATTGGGAGGATTTAGCCGGGCAGGCTCAGAAAACCCGTCCATAGGTGGGCAAGGTGGAGCAGCCAGTGGCTCCTGGGTTTCCCTTTCCAAGCCCCGCCTCTTGCTGCCCCCCCAGGGCATCTGTGTTAGGCCACAGTGCTGTCTGAACACAAAAGCATCGCAGGGCCACCCTGGGAGGGAGTGCTTCTGAACAAGGAAGTGTGGGCCTGACATACCTTAACGAACATTCTTCCCTTAGGGAACCGGCTGTGCCTGTTATTATCCAAAAAATTCTCCTGCTTAGGCAGCAGAATCTGAAGGCACCGTTTTCCATGCCGGTGTGTGATAGGAAGTGGTCCTCTTGGCTGTTCAACCTGGGTACTGTGCGGCCCACCCTACCGCTACCTCCCGAAGGAAGCTTGGCTTCCCTTTGGCATTTGTGATCTACCATGTTTCTCTTCCAAAACCACAGGCCTAATTACCGCTTCTGCATATGGTCTTGTAAAGTTCTTGCCTAATCAAACGGCGGGAGTGTTCAGCCTCATGGCATCTTTCCTGTTTTTTGCTAAATCAGAAATATCTGGTCTGCTAGCTGGAATGCATGTTTGTTGTTATGGCTTCATCCAAGTATGTATCAAAGTTGGGAATTCTCTGAGATATTCTTGGACTCCTCCTGTGAGCACTCCCTGTGTTGGTGTATTTATTAACTTCTATTTGAAGACCAATAATAATGAGCTGGCTTGGGAGCTGTATTTGCTGCCAGGTCACACGCATGATGTTAGGTGGACAGAACACTTCTCAGAGAGCCCAGAAGGTACAGCTGCCAGGGGCCTGATCCCTGCCCCAGCTTGGCTCAGACGGTCTTAACCTGGTGTTCATCGTGGCTTCCTTCTGAGTGTGGGCCGGGCACAAGGATGGATCCTTGTGTATTTTATCACCGAGAAGCCTCAGGACCACTCTGGAAATCTGGGCGCTGCTACCCACATCCAGAGAAGGATAATGAAGACCAGAAAAATCAGATAATTTGTCTAAGTTGGTCTAAAGGAGCCAGCCAGATTTTGAGTCCAGATTACTTTAGTTTTGGGCCGGGGATTTAGCTCAGTGGTTCGGTGGCCTGCCTCACAAGCGCAAGGACCCGAATTCAATCCCCGGTACCAAAAAAAACCAAACAGATTACTTTAGTTTTCCAGAACCCTCAGCTATGTAAGCTTGAACCACCAATCTAGAGAAAAATGGAAAATGCACAAACAGCTGCAATAACTCTATCAAAGCCCTTGTGCTAAAGCCCAAGGCTTTTGTTTTATGTACAGTTCTAGTAATGTGATTTCCTGGTTCCATAACAGAAAATAGAAGGAACATGGAGGGGAAGATACTAGGAGGGGCCCAATACCAGGAAGCAATAAGAACTTAATAGCTGGGTATGGCGATGCTGCCCTATAATTCCTGCAAGAAGATCACAGGTTCAAGCCCAGCCTGGCAACTTAGTGACTTAACAAGAAGCTGTCTCAAAATAAAAAATTTTAAGGGCTAGGATATATTTAGTATGCAAGCCTTGAGTTCAACCCCCAGTACTCTTTAAAAAGCAAAATTGAAAGTGCAGATTAGCAGAGAGATTTGTACACCCATGTTCATAGCAACAAAAGGTGGAAATTACCCAAGGGTCAATGGACAGAGATGAGGTGGGCACGGAACAGGTGCATATAATGGAATATTATTCAGCCTTTAAAAGGAAGGAAATGCTGACCCACACTATGGCATGGCTGAATCTTGAAAAACTATATGAAGTAAAAATAAGCCATTTACAGAAGGAGAACTGCTGTATGAGTCCACTGATAGGAGCTCCCTAAGCAGTCAAGTTTATGGAGACAGGAAGTAGAATGGTGGTTGTCAGGGGCTGGAGTGGGGCTGGAATGGAGCTAGTGTTTAATGTGTGGAGTTTTGGGTTTACGAGAGGCGAGGAAAGGAGCTCCACGCAGGGATGGTGGTGACCGTAGCAGTATGAATGCACTGATGCCTCACAGTTTCACACTGCAAACTGAGTACAGTGGGAGATTTTATGTGTATTTTGCCACAGTCTTTTCTCCTCTTTATTCCTCTCTCTCTCTCTCTCTCTCTGTGTCTCTATTTGTGTGTGGGGAGGTACTTGGTACTGAACCCAGGGTCCTCACATACCAGCACCCCCCACTCCTCTTTTGAGACAGGGTCTTGCTAAGTTGCTGAGTTTTCCAGGCCAGGTTCAAACTCATGATCCTCCTGCCTCATCCTCCCAGAGCCCTGGAATTATAGACACGCACCACCACACCCAACTTCTTCTTGTTGTGCCTTTAAATCGACTGGTGTGGAATGAGTGGATTTAAATTTAAAATCCTTCCCACCCTGCCTGTGTAGCAGCGAGGGAGTGAGGCAAAGAGACCCAGGGATGGTGTAACACTGGAGCCTCAGACAGGAGTGGGCTGGGGGGAGTGGAATCTGCACAAACCCTGGCCGTGGGTACCTTTTGTTCTCTGAGAAGGAAGGATGACAGGATCCTGGCCAGTCCGTGGTGCTTGGCATCAGCTCCTGGGCAGTCTTGTACCTCGTAACAGGCTTTCTTCATTCTGTGCTTTGTTCAGATTGCCTTTTTCCTCTACAATGGGGTGTCGCTGGGTCAGTTCGTGCTGCAGGTGACCCATCCACGCTACCTGAAGAACTCTCTGGTTTACCACCCCCAGCTCCGAGCGCAGGCTTGGCGCTACCTGACGTACATCTTCATGCACGCTGGGTGAGTACCCATCTTCTGACGGAGTTTTACAGAGAAATAATTGTCCAGATCACCCAGTGATATATATTAATTTTTTTCTTTTGTGGGGCCAGAGATTGAACCTCAGGCCTCACACATGCTAGGCAAGTGCTGTACCATTGAGCTACAATCCCAGGCCCCAAAATATCTTCTTGGACACACAGTTTGAGATGATTGCTTGCAACTCATCTAATACCAAACTTATACAAGTCAGTTTTGTTTGTTTGTTTAGTTTTGGGAACTCAGGACCTTGCACTTGCCAGACAGGCACAGCACTACTGAGCTAAACCCCTGGCCCTGTTTTTGTTTTTAGAGATGAGGTTTTACTATGTAGTTCAGACTGCCCTTCAACTAACTATGTAACCCAAGCTGGCCTCAAACTTGTGGCAATCCTCCTGCCTTGGCCTTCTGAGTGCTGGGATTACAGGAGTTAGCCATCATGCTGGGCTACAAGTCACTTATTGAGAGTGTATAGGAAAGAGGAAAATTTTGGAAGCCAGCAGTAGTATCAGCAAACACAGACATGTGATTCTATGTATTTGCCAGAGGTGGGTTGAACATTCATTCAGTCTGAACTTCCTAGTAACCAAGGCAAAGAGGAACATGTGATCAGCCACCAGATACCTTGTTCGTAAACTGTGGATGTGAGTACTCCTGTAAGTGAAGTAAAGGACTGATTTGTTGAAACCACTTTCTTCCAAGGTAGTCTGCATATGTGACAAGAGCCCTGTGGCCTCTGTGGGGGCTTGGAGTGCAATCAGTTCTCACTGGTGCCTCTTGCCACGGGGTAAGGACTTTCCAGGTGCCTGAGTGGCCTCCCTGGTCTGAGTCCCTGGAAGAGCAGTGCTCTTGGCCAGAGGTTGCTATCACATGGTAGAAGCCTTGCATTGGAGACAGGGAGACTCTGAGGTATCTACTGTACTCCCCACCCAGACATAAAGGTGCCCACGACCTTCTGGGAGAAGGCCCCAGGGGGCCTACTCTGGGGTGAGCATGGGCAGGGAGTCACTCTGTCTCCCAGGGCTCCATCATTTGTCATTCCTGCTGCTCAGCTGAAAAATCCAGCTACTCAGGGAGAGGCCCACTCTGAGCTGCTCCCACACAGGCACAGGAGCCCGCCCATCCCTAACCATACTCCCTGTGAGGAGATGCCTCAGTTGGTTGCTGATAAACCTCTCTGCCCTGGGCGGTGGGGCCCATGGTGGTAGGCTCTTTACCTCACCTGTAGTGTCCCAGGCTTTGATCACACAGGGATGGGCAGCAGAGTGAGGGGACTGGCACACTTCAGTCTCTCGTGAGCCAAGATCTGGAAACAACAGAAACGGGCTCCCTGCCCAGGCTGCCCAAGCCTGTGGGAGTTCATGGCTTAGGACTACAGGCCTTATTTCCAGTATTGCCCTATGACCCTCTCTGGCCCCACACAGTGAAGAAGGGAATAGCTAAAGCCTCCAAAACCTCCTGGTCCCATTCTCTGCCTCATTAACAACATCCTGTGTCTGTAGTTGACAGGGCACAGATATCCTCAGCCAAGGCTACCATGGTGGCTGTGGGCTTTTCTCCCGTGGCTGCTTCTGATGGGGCCTCATCTGCCAAGGATATGCTGGGAGGATTTCTCTGGGCCTGGTTTGCTTTGTTTTGTTTTCTTTCTTTTTTTTTGGTACCGGGGTTCGAACTTGGGAACCTGCACTTGCAAGGCAGGCGGTGGAACCACTGAGCTAAATCCCTGGCCCTGTTTTGTTTTTTTAATATGTGTACTGCTGGGGATTGAACCCAGGGCCTTCACACTGAGTTACAGCCCCAGCCCTTTATTTTTCATTTTGAGACAAGGTCTTGCTAAGATGCCCAGTCTGGGTTCATACTTGTGATCCTCCTGCCCCAGCCACCCATTGTACTAGCATTACAAGTGTGCACTGTCACACCTACCTGTGGAACTCTGGGTTCTGAGGGAAGGGCTCCTGCTTGGTGCATTAGATAGGAAAGACAGCTAGCTGGCCAGCATCTCCTGGCCTCTTCTTGGTCTCAAGGTCTTAGTTTATAAAATGAAGGCCTGAGCCCAGAAACCCTCCAAGGTTCATCTGTCTGTGTCTGATCTGTTCCCCAGCCCCCTTTCAGAGCGTTTTCCTGATGTCTGTCATCTCCATGGAGTCCTGTCCCTAGCAGTCAGTAGAGGGTAGAAGACTCCAACATGGTAGCCATTCAGAAGCTGCCTCAAAAGTGCCCTCTGGAGTAGGCAGGTGCCCCACTGGGCTTCCAGGCAGCGCCTCACAGGCCAGAAGCATGGGCATGATGCAGGCCAGGACCCTGCCCTTTTGTTGCTCCATAGCTGAAACCACCCCCAGAGTGCTGTCCATGTTTCTGCTTAGTTGAGATGAGATAGATAATGGATAGGAAAGTGCACTGTAGACTTGAAGCCTCACATTGATTGAATAATAGTAACATTATGATTTTTCCTGGTAATACGTGGACTTGGCAAGACACCCTACATACTTAGCAACAAGATCTGGGGCCGGGGATTTAGCTCAGTGGTTCAGTGGCCTGCCTTGCAAGCACAAGGACCCGAGTTTTGAGATGAGATAGATAATGGATAGGAAAGTGCACTGTAGACTTGAAGCCTCACATTGATTGAATAATAGTAACATTATGATTTTTCCTGGTAATACGTGGACTTGGCAAGACACCCTACATACTTAGCAACAAGATCTGGGGCCGGGGATTTAGCTCAGTGGTTCAGTGGCCTGCCTTGCAAGCACAAGGACCCGAGTTCAATCCCTCTGACCAAAAACAAACAAAACAACAACAAAAAAATTACTAAATACATTGATATCCTAACATGCTACACATGATGAGCACTGTACCAAGGAAGGCATTTACGGGATAAGAAAGCCTGGATCCCTCTCTCAACCTTAAGAATTTTGGAGCAGACCAGGTCCTTCCTTATACCAGAAAGGAGGAACTGGGCCTGGGATTTAGCTCAGTGGCACCATGCCTGCCTTGCAAGCACAAGGTCCTGAATTTGATGCCCGGTACTGCAGAAAGGAGGAAGACTGAATTGCTAAATTATAAGTGCTCTCTTTAATGCCTGCACTTATTCCAGGAATGTCTTTCTCTTTCACTGTCAGTAGCTCTTACAAGTACAGTACAGAGCCAGAGTGACCACAGGGCCCGGTAGATGGAGTAGGTCAGGCAGATCAGAGACCTAACCTGCGGTCCCTCAGTGTCTCATCCACAGATCTTAACCGTGGTTAGTTCCTCTCACAGTGGCTAGCACAGGCGCTGTCGATCACCACCCAGGTACTGTACCTGTGTCCCAGCTGGAAGGAATGCTCTTTAAACATGGTCGGTCTGCATTGTCACTCCTCCCTCCAGACCACAAGCTCCTCAAAGGCAGAGGCAGAGGCTTCATTCGTGGATCCGCAGCATCTGGGCTCACCGTGTTTGTTAAAGAAACAATGAACGCACTAATGAATGAATTAATCATCTGAGTGAATGAATATGATCTGTCACAGGATAGAACACCTGGGACTCAACGTGGTGCTGCAGCTGCTGGTGGGGGTTCCCCTGGAGATGGTGCATGGAGCTACCCGCATCGCGCTTGTCTATGTGGCTGGTGTTGTGGCAGGTAGGCAGGTGGCCCTGTGTCCAAGGGAGAGCCCCCTGGGGCGGGCTGGGGGCGACCCCTTAGGTGGGGCCAGCCTCGGGCTCGCAGGGCACACATGGAAGATCCTCATCCCCAAGGCTCCTGGCTGTGTAGCCATCCTCCAGGCAAACCTCCCCACCTCCAGGGATGCTGGGAAAAGACGGCCACCCAGAGAGGGAGGTGTATGGTGGTGGTCAAGTGGGATTTGGAACAGGAAGACTGACCGAGTTTCAGTCTCCACACCACTGTGTGAGCTTGGGGAAATTACTGATTCTCTCTTGGTCCCATTAATTTCGAAGAGGGAACTAATGAGACCTGCCTGAAGGGTTGTCAGGAAGCTGGAGGGGAGCTCCAGTGGGCTAACTGATCACCACGAGGGCAGCAGAGGTGTGGGCCACGTCCCTGGTCAGGGCAGCACTTGATCTTGGCTCTCCTAGGAAGAGCCGCAGTCTGCTTGAGTGACCCACTGCACACGGGAGAGTCTGGCCTCCGAGGAGGTGGCCTCTTGCTACAGCTGGAGGAGTGGGGGCCTCCGCCTGTCTCAGCACCCATGGGAGGGAAGGCGGGGACAAGTGACCTGGGGCATGAACAGCAGATTTCTGCATGGAGCCTCACAAACTTGGCTTCTGAACATGGGGATCTCCTTTCTGAGGGTTCCAAATTTATTGCTGGCTTTTTAAACAAGGTTTGCCGCCTCAGTGCTGCAGCGGACAGCTGTGCCCGAGGGAGCTCTGTGTGTATGTTTAAGTGAGATCTTAATCCTTTCTGAGTGGCAGTAAGGTTGTCATCAGTAGAGCGGGCAGCTTCAGCCTTGTAAATGAGCAGGCAGGAACCCTTGGAGGTGACTGCAGTGGTTTCAGCAGGGAAAAGGAAGGGTCCCACCCCGTGCACATGGACTCTCAGCCCAGGACATTGTCCCAGCACTGTCTCCCTTGCTCCTCAGTGGGGCCAGCACCTGGACCTTGGACAGCAACCAAAGTCCTTTCCCAGAATTCAGCACCAGCCACAACCTCCACAAAGGTCTAACAAGCACCTCTGTGTATCAGACTTGCTCAGCAACCCTCACACCCCTTAGACCTGGCATCTGGTGGGGGAGGATTTATAGTTGCAGTTTGTGTATCTAGATACCCCGAGTCCCAGATGTTAAATGGCGAGGAACAGGAAAGATGCTCGTAACACTCTCAGTAGTCAATTAGACGGGAGTGCCAATAACCTGGGAGACAGAAATAAGACTCACAGTGACTCAGACCTCTCCCGAAACGGATGCCACACAGGGGCGAGATGGTGCAGGCACTGCTTCCAGACGATGCCAGTGCAGTGGGAAGACACACAGACCTGAGCACGGTTCATCAGCTGATTGTGAGCCTGGGAGCTGTGGCATCGAGCCAAGGGTGTGCCCAGTTCCGCCCAAGCCGTCCATTCAGACCAGAGGGCACTCTGGTCACTACGTATCATGTCATCGATCTGCAGGATTGAGTGGATTGAGCTTTCTAACTGCCTCACTCCTCCTCCTTGGCATCCTTCCTACCTCAGGGAGGGAAGCCCATGTGTAGGCAGCCAGAACTTGACCAGATGGCCACTAGTTATCAGTGCCTACCATGTGCAACCATATTTAATCCTCACAGCTACCCCATGAGGTAGATACTATTACTTCCCACCTGGTAGAGACAAAAGCGAGGCTTAGAGGCAAGGGGTACAGCTCAGTGGTGGAGCATGTGTCTAAATGCAGGAGGCCTTGAGTTCAATCCCCAACATCAACAGAACACTATACAAAATCAGAAGTGTGCCGGGGATTTAGCTCAGTGGTTCTGCGTGCCTCGAAATTGCAAGGTTCCAAGTTTGATCCCCGGTACAAAAAAAAAAATCGGAAGCAAGCTGAGCATGGTGGTACATGCCTATAATCCCAATACTCTGGGAGGCTGAGGTAGGAGCATTAGAAATTGAAGGCCATGCTGGGCACTTTTTTTTTTGGTACCGGGGATTGAACTCGGATCCTTGCGCTTGCAAGGCAGGCCACTGAACCACTGAGCTAAATCCCCAACCCTATGCTGGGCAGTTTAGCAACCTGGCAAGACCTTGCCTCAAAAATAAAAAATAATAGGCTGGGGATTTACCTCAGTGGTTCCAGCGCCTGCCTCACAAGCGCAAGGGCCTGAGTTTGATCCCCGGTACCAAAAAAAGGCGGGGAGCTGGGGATATATATATAGCTCAGTGCAAAGGCCCTGGGTTCATTCCTTAGTACCACCACCATCAAAAAAAAAAAGCAGATGTTCTGCCAGTTTGTATTTCGGATTTCTTTTAACCCCTAATGGCCAGGGGAGATGTTGGTAAACATCTGCCTTAAAAGTTTTCAGGCTAAAATTACTACAAATGCTCCTTATGATGAGGTCACTGGTTTATCTGCCTGCTGGGATGTATTTTGGGGAATGAATAACCCCGACTAAAACCAGCCTGCCCCTGTGCAGAGGTGAGGCATGTCCCTTGGGTTTGCCATTCTCTCCCCGCCCTCCGTCCCCACGATGCCCGTTGAATCCCTCTGGCCTCCTGAATCCCACTTGCCCAGGTCCTGCCCCAGCCTGGCCTTTATTACCGAGTTCTGTTCCTCTTTGGTCGCATCCAGCCCTCCCACCCCCAGCTGACCTACAGGAAAGTGGGCAGGTGGGCTTGGGTTGTTACCTTCAAGATTCTAACACAGGATATGAGCTTTGGAGACTGGATTTTAGACCAGGCCTGGGATCACTAAACTCCTGCTCTGGAAGGTATACTGCAGGCTGCTCCCAGGAGAGGGGCAGCTCTGCTTCTGGCCCCCTCCCTCCCCTGTGTGCCAGAGTGTTTCCCAGTGTCCTGCTCCACCGGTTAGGGAGCCCTGGAAAGATTTACTTTCAAAAGGGGTTTCACTGCTCACAATTTGAAAAGCCCTAAGGCTTTACATCCTCATTTCACAGATGCGAAAACTGACTCCCAAAGAATTCAGGTGCTGTGCCCAAGGTCTCATGACTAGCCAGCCCCAACCCCAACCCCAACCGTCCCCTGGCCCCTGGGGTCAGGAGACCTGAGAGGGTGAGGGAAAGGTCAGTGTGGAGCAGGCTTGACCCTGGTAGGGGCCGTTCCCTGCCTGAGGCCACCCGATGCCTCTCTGCCTTGGTGGATCATCCTGGGGCGGCGGCGGAGGAACTGGTTTGCCTGGATCCGATAGAGGAAAGAGGCCAGGCCAGGGAGACCGGGCTTCCTCTGTCCAAATGGTAATTAATGAGGAGTGCGACTCGGGCAGACAGCCCACAGCCCTGCAATGCAGCCTGCACAGACTGAGCCTGGACAGCGTGGGAATCCTTTGTCATGCAGATTCTGCTGCCTGTTTGTTTGCCACCCTGGGATTTTTTCTTTCTTTCTTTTTTTCTTTCATTCTGTTATATATGGCTGACCCCATGGCTAGACCATAAAAAAGGAAAAGAAAAAGCAAAGAAAGTTATCTGACAATAGATCAATACCTAATTAAAGCCAGAGGGAAGGCATGAAAAGGGGAAAGAGAGATTTATAGTTGCCTGGGTGGGGAGAAGGACTTGGGAGTCCTCAGCTCATGACAGTTTGAATTTTTTTTCTGAGCGATCACAAATCTGCCTTGAGACCAAGAACTGGTTGTGAGGGGCTCTTCAGGGGTCGCAGTAATGCGGGCCTTGAGCTGGCTGGGAGAGGTGGATGACCTAAGACCTACGACCCAGGGCGTGGGAGCTCTGTGTGTCCATCTAGATGGTCAGTGCCCCCCTTCTCCTGCGGGGTGGGTCCTCTACCCCGGGAGGCTGCAGAACTGGGCTTTCCGCCTGGCCTTCCTCTCTCCAGAGGCTAATTGGCTCGGAAGCCTGTGGGCATTTTCCAGCGGTGGCTTCCACTAGCTCAGGCCTCCACTCATCCTCTGTGTCCTGGACTCTACCTCTTAGCTATTTTTAGTCTCCTGTGTCCTTCCCTAGAAGCCAAAGCATTGATCACACTTAAATGAGACCTGGACAATAAATTTTCCACCTCCTCTTTGCCCAGCTTCCTTCCCAAGACAGAAGTTTGTCATCTCTCAGACCAAGAGCCAGGAACCACCCTTCCCCCCAGAAGGTGTGACATCATCTCTCTCTCTTTCTCTCTCTCTCTGTAGGGACTTTTCAAGGACATTTTTCCTCCAAAAGAGCTCCCCTGTGAGATTCTGCTGGCCTTTTGTGGTTTCCTTTGGCTTGGGGGGTGGGGGGTTGAGAGTGATGCTGAACAGATAGCTAGATGTTCCTAAGCAGAAGAGACCTGGGTTCCAGTCTGGGGAGTGGCTGTCACTGAAGCCAAGAGCATGAGCTTTGGTCAAGAACACTGGTTTTGGCCAGGCATGGTAGTGCACACCTGTAATCCCAGCACTTAGCAGTCTGAGACAGGAAGATCACCATGAGTTCAAGGCCAGCCTGAGTTACATTTTGAACTCAAGCCTGAACTACATAGGGAGACACTGCCTTAAAAACAAATAAACAAACAAAAATCCTTGGGAGTGTAGCCCTATGTTGCCTGCCACACTCCTGTTGGGGGCATGGGTTTTATGCCAGGCAGGTGCAGACTCTAACCCTGATTTCTGCACGGCCCACAGGGCACTCAAGGCTTAGTGAGTTCCCCGTCTCTGCGGTAAGGCAGCTGGCACTTGCCTCAAAGACCGGTCTTGAGGATGGAAGGGAGGAACTGGTGCCTCACACACAGGACCCCTGCCATGACTGGAACAACTGCTGACACTGTTTCTGTTGCTGCTCCAGATCCTGCAGTAGCTGTGTCATGCAGAGGCTGGGATGACCTAGGTCTTAGCCCATGACCTAGGTCTTAGTCAGAGGTCCACCCTGGAAGGTCACTTCCCTTCTTTGAACCTCGTCTTCCCATCTGTAAACTCAGTTGGCAGAATCCAGTGGCTCTTTCAGCCTTGGGATGGTCCTCTGGAAGATCCTCAGGAAGGTTCACGCGACGTCTTC